GCAAATCAGCTTGTTTTTGCTGGGTGGTACAAAATCCTCTTCCCCTTCCGCTGCTACGATGGACCCATAAGGCACTTCAATGTCAGCATCCTGACGGTAATTGAGAGTCAGGTTGAACAGGTTCTCTATCCCAGGCAGCTGGGACGAATGTGATGGCGACTCGAAGTTCATCCATATCCACTTCTGGAATGACGGTCGCTGCAGCGGCGGCAGATTGGACAGGTCAGTGCTGATGTCCCGGTGATGGATGACGACTCCATCAGACTTATTGTAGAAGTTCCTGTCTGCTGTGATGAAGCAGCCATCAATGTTAAAGAGAGAGCTGCAGACGCTCAGGTCGTACGTTTGTCCGAAGGGCCAGAGCCAGATCAGCACAGTGGTCACGTTTTTATCGCTCTTGGTGGAGAAGAGATTCTTGACCCGGTCTGTGGATACTGTTGACTCTACAGGACCTGATAACCAGCTTGTAGATGGTTTAAAATACATCAAAAACAGAGTCACAAAGCATCCCAGTATAAAAGTACCAAGCAGAAGGGGTCGCAGAATTCTGTGAAAAGGTGCAGATGGCATACTCTGTCCTAAAAAGGGCAAACCAAAGAGAAAAATACCACATGGTAAGCAGGACACAACATCAGGACTGATCATCTAATCAGGATAAGGCTTTACATACTACCAACATGTAATAATGTCTACCGGATCATTGACTCTGAACAGAATCTGTGCCTTTAAATACTTAGTGGTATGAATATATACTGTGTGGTGTGTAAGGCAATAGTTTGCATCGGTGCTCAAATAAAACTGCTAAATAAAACTGTGATGCCTCCTACAACATATTGCAATACAAACCTGGCGGATTTTACTGAATGCTGAAATCCAAGCAAGAGTAGAGGTTGTGGGAATTTGAGGGAACAGCTCCTACATCGGATCGAAGCTTGGATTAACCCCCTCTGTGATTCGGTGCTCATAGGAAAACAAATTGCAGGTTGGAGCTAGAAGATGCTTCTTTGCTCTTAGGCTGAATAATAACGATCCTTAATGACTGAATGAAGTGTGTTTGATCTTGAATTTACTGGTCTTCTTAATGATGCCTCCTTTACACGAGCAAAGAGAGAGAATGAGAGAGAATCTATTAAGCCAGAAAAAGAGACAAAAAGCAAGCACTTTGATGACCCCTCCCATTTTGCCTACTCTCTCCATACTTGACCACAGGTATGGTATAATCAGTCTTGGCATAACAAATTAGTTTAGTGGCTTTTTTCCTAGTTAGTAGTGATATGAATTTATTTTGGACTTTCCTGTTAGTTGGCTCCTATGAAAGTTTATTTTTTTATCACTAGTGTAAAAACAATTTTACAATACACACAGGTTTTAAGCTTGGACAGAGAGAGCTTCGTCAGCCAGTTCTTGTTAGCTCATGAACTTTGAGTTCTTTAGTGCAGTGGTGGTTCTTGAACTCACTTACTAGGTTTAAGACACTAGGTTATGTGTAGGGAATCCACTGAGTCAACTGTTACATTAATGTGGGTAGAGATATATGCTTGGGAACACCTGAGTGGTTTTGATGGGATCACTGGTTTAACCAGTCGCCACTCACTTAACCCCTACTTTTAACTGCCTAAAGGCTAGGGTTAAGTTAGATGGTTTTGGTTGAGAGAGTAGGAGGACTGTTCTCCAGTTTCCTTGGCTTGTCCCTGACTTGTAATCGGCTCCTTGATTAGAGTCACTGGATCAGTGCCCAAAGGCTTTTGTCTTATAAACTGTAGAACACTTTGTTAGTAACTTGTTGTGGTGTAGGACCTTAATATTGCGACAACATATCGCGTTTGGTTAGGATTATTTGTTGCTGCTTTTGGTTGTAACTTGGCTGTTATGCTCTTTTGTACTGGATATCTTACTATCGTCTGTGTCCAGTATAGAAACTTTGTAATCCTTAAGCTGTGTACACACTGGGACTGAGTCTCCTGTTGCGTGTCGCTTTAAAGCTGGCAGCTGGTGGCTTGCGGATGTTTCAAATTCTGGTTGCCATATTTACCACCAGATCATATGTTAATTAGTGATATCCTGCATTCTCATTAGTAGTCACTTCAATCAGTTGCCTGGGATTTGAAAAATGTTTACCCCAGGCTCCACCAACTTCCTGCAGTGATAATTTCACCCATAGTCACTGAATGTCCTTGACTTTTCGCCATGTTGCACTTCCGGTTTGAAAATAGCTTTTTTCACATGTGGAACCACATGGAGGTTTGAGATATGACTGTCCAGTTAAGCTACCTAGCATGTCACTGTTTGCTTTCTAGTTATTCCTCCTCTGTCTTGGTCTGTTCTGTTCTCTTAAATATGCTCCTAGAAGTATCAAGACTGTAGAAAGAGTAGCTGACAGTACTAGCAGAGTTGAGATAAAACTTTTTAATAGGCCTATAGTATTTTTCAGTCTATAATCTTTAACATGACAAGTGCCAGAGCAATGGATTTTTGTAAAAAAGAAAAAGAAAAAAAAAAGAAGCATATCTGTCATCACTTGGCTAACTGTCAAATACCTGCATCCACACACTCACCATGACTGAGCTAGGCATTGTACAATTCTTAATTCAATTGTGGTTCTTTCAAACTCCATTACTTTGTGGGTTTCCCTATGTTCTGTGCCCACTGAGCTACTTCATAGCACCACAGAGAAAGCTTGTATTTCCAGCCTGCATGCAGAGATTAGCTTAATATCTACAAACAAGTGTATAAGACAAAACAAAAGTTTTTACACAAATAGTCAGCTAGTCCTAGATAGTCCTAGATATCTTCTAAAAGTTTCCAGTTAGGCATGGATGTAGGTTGTTATTTTGGGCATCCACTGTGTGTTGTAAGAGAATGCTGCCATCTTAAGGCTGAGAAGAATAGAAGAGCTCTCTGGGGCTCAGCACACCTGCATTTGGCACAGAGGCCACACAAGCCTGACATGCCAAGTGCAGAATCAAAGCTTGAGAGACGATTTTTCTTCCATGCATCCCTGAAGCATATCTGAATCAGTAAAATCAAAGGAAAGGGTAACATGCATCCATGCTTCATCCAAATCTTTGACTTTGTTACACAGATATGCAGCCAGCGGACACACAAGTCAGAGATGGAGTGAGATAAGAGCCAAATGAGTGCCACTCGTTTTAAAGGCTTATGGTATCAATACATTTTCATGTAGGGACAATCCTCTTACAGCACTCAACCATGCCTCCTGTGAGCTGCAGTGATAAGCTCTGTGGTTAACAGAGGATGCATCCCATGCATGCCATGCATGCCATGATGTGCTGGTGTCAATTATATAAAACACCCCATAGGATGGAGGTTGACCTGTATTGCAGTGATCAGGTCAGGCCTTTGAAGTTCCAGTGTCTCCAATGTGATTATTTAAAGAAGGTGCACAATGTTTTATTTATTTATTTAGATATGTCTTTCTATCTCTAAACCACCAAAATGAGACTAAGGGGAGACTCCTGCAGCTCATTCACATTTTAAAAAAAGCATAGCTGTGATTTTGTTAAATGCATTGTGATGTATTTGGGACACAGAAAGAGCACCGCATGGGTGAGTAGTCTGCAGCGAGGCCACGTTTGAAGTGGCTGGAGAGCAGTAAGGGGAGGAAAAAACGCAGTCACACATTTTCTGTGGCAATATCAGTCACAGAAATCTCAAATCCCAAACAGCGTTTTGTAACGGGTATGCAAAGGCTAAAGCTGCACATGTACACCAAAATTGTTGTCTTTAGATTGCAACTCAAATTTCTAGAAGGAGCCCCGCACTGGCTGAAAACGGACACTCCATCTCAGGTGAGAATTAATTTCCAGCCACCGAGCACTGAAGGTCATTTCAAAACGTGACGCTGTAGTGGAGCCACTCTTTAAAATGGTTGTCTTTTGGCGTGACACTGCATTGAAGTTGATGGGAATAATAAAGATACACTGGAATATTTTCCAGTGCTGACTAACAGAACCTAGATAATAGCGCGCGCGGAGGGTATAATATTTGCAGCTATGAGGGCAAGGTTTGAAATACAAGTCACATTCACGGGTGAAAAACATCCATGTCCCCTGCAGTGTGTGAACTGTCTAGTGCATTAAACATTTAAAAATGCAGTGTACAATCAAACACCCCGGGGAAAACGAGAAGCGGTCTATATTTGTGACATTTGTTTTGCGCATTTTCTTTTTGGCGTTTGCAATTAGCTACAAATGATTTGCCTTTAAAATCAGGTAGAAGATCAGACATAGGATGCAAGGATGGGGGGGAGAAAGACTCAGCCAAGCATTTTACTCACCATCGCGACAGGCGTGAGTCAAAATAAAGCTTTCTTCTCATTTCCTCCTCCTCACTTTCAAAGACACATAGGAACATACGGAAGATGTGGATGCGTTTGGAATAAAAAATCGAGCCCGCACGCCGTGTTTGCAGCAATAGAGCCCGCATCCATCGTCTTGATCCCGAAAAAATGATGATACCTACTGTAGCAATGTGCGCTGAATCTTCTCCGCTGCTGCACACCGACGCAGAGAATGATGGCTGCAAGTGAAAAAAGGGGGGAAGAAAGAAAGAAAGACAGAACGAGGGGGAAATTGCGACTACCTCGTTCGCTTGCACACTAAATTCATATCTCGGTGTGCGAGGGCGCCATGTATGCTCAGGGATGTGATGCGATGTGGAATAATTCCCTGCTGGCTGCCCATGCGCTACCTTGCTCTGTTTACCGTGGATGCAGCTGCAGGCTGTGGCGGAGCGCTAGTTTGAGTGGGATGCTGCGATTCCGCTTTAGTACCATATTACACTTTAATCGTCTGTTTAAGGTTCTCATTTGAATAAACAGGTCAGTCATCTCTGCTGAGAGGAAGCACGGGATCAAAAGGATTCACCTCAATTGGTCTGTACAAATTAATCTTTCAGTGATGTAAAAGCTGAAGTCTGATTGCCAGTTAGTGAGGATAATGCACCACAGCCACCTTCAGAGGCCCAAAAATACAATTCTGTTAATTTTCAGCCAGTTTATTTAATATTTTTCGCATTCTTAAATCACATGCAAAAACAACTTACAAAAAAAGTAGGTTCAATTATCTATACAGAGGCTCACAGATACAGTTTGCCCCATTAAACCTTGAGCATGCCCCGTGATTTCTTTTAGCCAGTCAATTAATCATTTACAGGGTTGCTCTAGTGGTTTAATGTTGTAATTCAAAACAGTTGGAGGAGTCATCACAGGGTTCATTTCAAAATTAACGATTAAATTCAGAAGTGCATTAATACGATTTTGCATGGGTCAAACTCCAAAAAAAATTTCTTACACAGCGTCGGATTAAAGGCAGCCTTGCACAACAGCAAGGCAAGAGGACATGAAGACGAGATCTTTGAGTTTGACTTCAGTAGGCAAAGCAACACCTGGATGAGCCGGAGCCAATTGGAAAACAAGTGCTGTGTGCAGGTGAAGCTCATTTGGCTTTTTTGGCCACAATCACCAAAGGTACCGTTTAAGAAAAACGAGCAAAAAGCATTTAATTGAAAAATAAAGCAGACACACACACACATAACTTGCCAACTTTTAAGCATGAAAGCTGTTGCAGTAATATTCTGATTTGGGAGCGTCGGGAAAATTGCCCGGATCGAGGCAAAAATAAATTCCAATAAAAGTCAGCAAATTCTGGATGCAAATGTTCTGCAGCCAGCCAAGGACGTACAACTGAGAAGATGCTGGGTTGTACAATTAGACAGTGATCTATAGCAGTCCTTAAAACTTGCTGCGAACTGCTCCAGGAATCCAAGCTGAAGCTGAATGGCTTTCACAGCCATGCTTGCTTATAAACCTGTGGGTAAACATGCTGTATGGCTGCGGAAGCCGAAACACCACCAACAAAAATTCTCACAAGTTCAAGTGATCTGGAAGAAGGACTGGGCTGAAAATTAAGAGGCAAGAATAAAAAGACCACTGTATGTTTTCAGTGGAGAGATGGCTTTGCTGCGGGGGCAGTTTTAACATAATGCGTGATTTGTGCAGATGCAGGCAAACAGCTGTGGCCACGCAGCTGTATGCACCGATAGCACGTCTAGTAAGAGAAGTATCTGTTAGACTTGTACTGTACCATGGCAACAGCTCATAAATAAGAAGGCAATCTACTGCACAGATAAAAACCAATCTTGATTTTGCCCTCCATTCCCTCAGCTACAAATCTGTTTCAACAACTGAACTGCTATCCTTCCATCCCGCCGCTGTTTGCATCATTATGACTCATCTCAGATTTTAAACTGACATGTCTTTGAAATGTCAAAATGTATGTTGCAGGGTTTTTTTCCCCGTCTTTTTATTTTCTTGTACTGTATTTTGGGCTGAAGCTGAGTTGAAAGCAGAATGAGGCAACAGCTTTATTCCACCAGACTGCTTTGTTTACTCGTGTCTCTGCCTCGTTCCAGAGTGCACTTTATTTCTGTTCGGGTCTAATATAGTCACAGATCACAGAACTGCAAAACATGCCTATGCTGTTTCGGCTGGTGAAAATCCAGGAATAACAAAAATGTACAAGGGTGTGCAAACAAGCGTTAATAAGACATCAGTTAAATTCACAATAATTCGTTCAAGTGCAACAAAACGACATACATCAGCGCAGCCAAAATTAGGATAAGTAAGTGGTTCACTTGCCTACGGCTTTGCAAATCATTTGGCTTTTCTTATAAAGTTGGTCTTCATTTGCATTTTGCTCTGCGTTCAGCAAGCAGAACTCCATTTAGTTTTCATTTTGTTTATACCCCATGAATAAACATCTGCTATGGATCTTAGTCATTTTCATTCCTGCCACTTTCGTCTCTCACCACCAAATATCGCCGCCCATTTGCGAGTTATTTCCAGGTAGATTGATGGTTTGTTGGGCAGATAGTCCAGATACACCGTCTGGCTTGTTTTTGGAATAGCCATTTCAATCTGAGTCCCCTCGTGCCACTCGTTAAAGGATGTTATAGAGATAAAATCAGGCCTGGCTTCCAGTGCTGCACTCAGCGAGGTTTCGTAGTATTTGCCATTGATGCGGTTTCGAGTGTTTTGGAAATTCCAGGGTCGAATGCTCGTGTCGATATATCCCGGGCCTACACTTGGAATGAACATCAGGTTGTTATCTTCACAGAAAGCTTTTATAGAGGCCCAGTTACGCTGCGTGGAACCGTAGGAAAAACCATTAGTGGCAAAGTAGGTGTAAACGCCATCGAAACCTGCTGTCAGGATATCTCTCTTGTCTTTCTCCTCTACCAGCAGCGCGATGAAGATGGCGTCATACGGGGTATCCCTGATGCTGTTGGTCTCCGTGTGCTTTAGCAGCTTGGCCCACTGCTCCGAGTTCAACAGATATGAGTCATACACATAGAAGAGCGGAAGAAGTTTGCCAGTGTTTGTCAAGTACTTGAAAAAAGCCGGGTGCTCTCCGTATCTGTGGAGGACGGGATGGGAAAAACAACCAGATGTCAAAGGAATAGAAAGATGAATCTAAACATGCAGATAACATTAATGATGACATCTGAATGACTCTGTGGGAAAAATCACTACTCACTTCTCAATGATGTATTTAACATTAGTGAACATGTTGACTTCATCCCTTCCTTTGTATGGCTCAATGTGAAAAGCTACCTATAACACACAAATAAAGACAAAGATAACACACACACACAGGGGTTCACAATCACAAATCCTTTCATTAGGAAAATAATGACGTTTCATTCAAGCAACTGCTGCAATCTCTATACACACACCTTAATGTGGTATTTATGAGCCACCTCAAACAGCAAAGGCACAATGTCGTCTGTTGAGTCCCCGTTGTCATCCTTCATATTGGGAGGATACCAGGAAACAGCAATGACACCTTAAAATAAACAGTTACAGTATCAATATGAAATCCAAAAGCTAAAAGAAAAACACCCAGATGGACATTCATAAAGATAACTGGATTCATTTAATGTAAATGTGTAATAAATCTGTATTGGAGCAATATTATTAGGCTTTCCTTGTATCAGTGTGTCACTATTATCATAGCTGCCAACACAATTCAATTAGAAGAGTTTTTGTTTGATAGTTGGGAACAATATGTTTATTTTGTGTGAAAAACTAAACACTAACCTATAAATGTCTGTAGCTCACTACATAGATTCAGAATGATCCAAAGAATAGGCAACATGTCATTCCTGTTTGAGCTTAACTGCATTGATTTATTTGGCCTCCTGGTCTCTGAGGTCATCCTCCATCAGCTTATCTCAGCACCACCTTTTCGCCTAAAAGCCAAAGGCGAACAGGCTTTTCCAGCTGTCACTGCCACCAGGGCAACAACAGCTGGAATTTTCCGTGAACCCACATAAGCACATGTCTAACTGACAATAAACCACTTCTAAAGATAAAGACATACAGTGTGGCGAAAAAGTATTGGCTCCCTTATATGCTTCAGACTTCAAATACATTTCCACACCAGGATAAATGCAAAAATCTGTTTTTTTAAAATTATTTCATTTATTAAAAGGGTGAGAAAAAAAAAGCTATCCAAACCTAACTGGCCCTGTGTGAAAAATGTTATTATCTCCTAATTCTAATAACTGGTTGTGCCAACCTTGGCAGCAACAACTGCAATCAAGCTTTTGCAATAACTAGGAATGAGTCTTTCACATCCCTGTGGAGGAATTTGGTCTACTCTTCTTTGCATTTTTTTTTTTAAAATTCAGACACATTAGAGGGTTTTCCAGCATGGACGGCCTGTTTAAGGATTTGATTAGACCACTTCAAAACCTTCATTTTGTTTTTGTTTCATTCAGAAGTGGACTTGCTGATGTGTTTAAGATTATTTTCCAGCTGCAAAACCCAAGTTTCTTTGAGCTTTAGGGAAAAAAAGGATGGCCGGACATTTTGCTTTAGGCTTTTCTAGTAGAGAGCAGAGTTCATGGTTTCGACAATTACAGCAAGTCATCCAGCCGCCTGAGACCACCACACTACCCCCGCCGTGTTTGACTGTTGGGATGATTTTTAAAAAATAAAATAATGTGTTAGTTTCATGCCAGATGTAACTGGACTCAAACCTTCCAAAAAGTTCAGTCCACAGAATATTTTACTGAAGGTTTTGGGGATCAAGATGTTTTCTGGGAAATGTGTACAGTGTGAAAAAATTAAGACATCAGGAAAGGAGCAATATTTTTTATACAGCACTGTATATATTTTCACTAGCTTTTAGTCAAGTACGCGTTAAAATTTTTCTTACTGCACTTTTATTTCTAGTGTTATTTCTATTGTTATACTTTATTTATGACTTCTTTTTATTCATATTTTGACATCATTGCATTGCCTGCCTGGAAAGCACTCTGGCTCAGCTCCTGTTGTTTTAAATGTGGTATATAATTAAAAGTGACTTGATGTCTTACCAATGGCTGCTGTACGCAGCTGCTGCATATGAGCCTCTATAACAGAGGGGTCTCTGGAACTGTAAACCCCTAAAGCGGGGTAAAAGTTGGCTCCAATGTCATCAGGTGGGCTGTGTCTCCCTTGTGGATATCCCTGAGCTACCTTAACGTCCCAGTGTGGCAGCTGTGGATGGTCCCAGTGTATGTATTTTCCATCAATCTTTGGGTTTCCATACCACGTGTAGTAGAAGGCATGGAGGTAGTAATTTGGAGGAGGGAACTTCCTCAGTGTCACTTCCAGTTCTGCATCCTTGTCTGACTGAGCAGCGCTGCTCATTTTGATCTCCTCTGGTTTTTTGTTGCGGTTTTCCCGGCTCTCTGGTTTGGGAAACCCCTTTATATCGGCTGGGCTGCTGAATGGAGAGTCCCGTGATATTAGCTCACTTAAGAACACAGTTATGGCGAGTATGAGCAACACCAGAGCAATTAATGTGATGCAAGACTTGCGCTTAAATCTTGCCATTCTTCAGTTAGTGCTTGAGGCTTTCCATAGTTCATTGTTGAGACACCAGTGAGAGACTGTGGTTGGAGGGGGCGCCAGTCAAGCTCAGCCGGAGAGTGTTTACTCAGCCTAGAAATTGAATGATATAAGAGATGTGAGTAGGTCTGTTGATCTTCCCAGAAGTGCCCAGTCATTAAATAATAGACAAAATTGCAGCTTTAGTTATTTTTGCAATAATATAAAGCTAAGTAATTTCCCATCTATTAATTAATAAAGCAAATAAAAAAGTGGAAATACCAAGTTTTATTTAGACTATAAATACAATAGCTGGTTACAGTACGTCCATTACTGCAGCTTAGCACCACACAGTTAAAAAGCTAGCAGCATTAGCCACATGAACTCTACCTGCACTGAACTTCAGACTTGACAACACCACACAGGCACCACAGGGCTGACACGACATCCGTTTTATTCGTCTACAGCCTAACAGTTAGCTTCTTCTTGCACTAAAACTATAACATTTTCATATCTCACATGAAACACACCCAGTCCAATGGCTCGACCGAGTCCTCATAAATTATTTTCGCTGCTGGGATGCAGAGGACGAGACACAACTTGCACTTCTGGTTTATTGCCTGTCCTGGAAAACGTCACAGATCTTCAAACACACTGACCTGTGACTGCGACTGCACTGTGACCCATCCATGCGGTATAGGAAGCTGCCTCCTCTTTAGCTAACAACAGTCATAAGGGTGGTTTAACTGAATGACACTGAGTGACAGCGCCCCCATCGCCGTGGAGGGTTCATTACAGAAAAGAATAAAATTAATACCACAGGAATTAATGATGATTCATGATTTCATATTTACTCTACAGCATTTATTTGCAAAGTAAACAGTACTGCAGCACAAGTACGTAAACTACACATAGATCAAACATTAGCAAATGTAATTGCATGCGTTGTCTTTTTTTTTATATTATTATGTCCTCTTCTCTTTTTTTGTTGTTCTTCTTCTTGATCTTCTTCTTTCAAATGCTGCCTTTAGGGGCTGCTCTACAAAAACTTCCTTCCCTATATCTGTGCACCTTGTTTGAGGTCTTTCTCTTTTCCTCCTGCCTGGTTGCTCCATTTTTAATGTCCTATCCACTCCAATATCCACTATCCCTCCTCTTCACGTGTCTAAACCATCTCAACCTTTTTTGTCTCTCTACTCAACCTGAGCTGTCCCTCTGACATGTTTCTAATCTTGTCCATTCTGGTGACTCCCGATTAAAATCTTTGCATCTTCAACTCTAACTCATCCAAATCCATCTCCTGTTTTTTTGTCATTGCTGCTGTCTACAAACCAAACATCACAGCAGGTCTATTGTCTTGTCTTCATCCACACCGCGCTGCCTGTACTCCCTTCTTTAGTCCTCATGTGTACTGTCCATTGCTTTAGATGGCTGACAGGTTTAAACTCATTTACCTTCACTGACTCCACTCCTTGCATTGTTAATTATATATCATATTGTAATGTTGTGTAAATCAAAGCATTTCTGTGAATGCAACATCAGTATTCAAACCAACAAACCTAATTTGAAACAGTGGTTTAACTTCAAAGATCAGATTTGTTTCAGTGAATAATCTTAACATTTAATATGTACAATAATTAGTTTGGAGTGATTATTCAATAAATAAAATTATTCCAGAATTATCTGGGTAGTGACATTTTGAATGGAAAAACCAGTGACACAACCAAAGGAGAAACAGAGGACTCCTCCTTATCTGACCTTATCCTATGTGAAGCCTGTGGACAGTGAATATATCCAGTGATGATGATAGCCTCCAGCAGTGTTTTCACAGGTTATGAAAGAAGATTATTTTGTGCACATGTTTACAAATAAATAAAAACCCCATTGCTATTTCTTTATTGTTCTGAAAGTGGTACTATGGGCATTGTTGCTTGGCTCTCATCTCATCTCCACTTGGACCCTCACTGTTTTCTCTGTCACTGACCTCATTGTGTTCAGGCCTTTTTTTTTTTCCAGAGGGCTCTAAAATGGGCTTAGAGTTGTTTGGCATTTTTAGCTGCCTAAAATGCCACGCTGGTTCACTTCTGCTGCATACAAAAGGTTGGAGATGGAAATGTATGAATGAGTGAAGAGGGTGTGTTGAAAATATGAAAGGAGTAGAGCACTTTGAAGAGCTGTTGAATGAGGGAAATGAGAGTGAGAGGAGGACAAATTAAGGAAAGTTAGTTAGTGCATAGGATGAGTGAAGGGAAGCGAGGCCAGCTATGAAGAGGAAGAAGAGTAGGAATGATGGTTGATTCAGATGACATACTTGTGGAGGTATGAAGATGTCTTGGAGAGACTTGGAGAGAGACTTTTTTTCCAGATTGTTTTTTGTTTGGGATGGAGAAGTGTGTTAGCACTGACTTTCAAGAAGAAGCACAATGTTCAGACCTGTAGTAACTACAGAGGGATGATAAGCTATATCATGAAGCCATGGGAAAGAGTTGATGAAGCTTTGTTAAGCAGAGGTGGTGATCAATGAGCAGCAGCATGGCTTCATGCTGAGAAAGAGCACCACAGATGTGATGTTTACTATGACAGTGCTGATGGAGAAATACAGAGAAGCTCAGAAGGAGTTGCACTGCGTATTTTTGTAGATCTTGAGAAAGCATTTGATAGGGTGCCAATAGGAATTCGGGAGTGGCAGTGAAGTATCTGAGGGTGGTGGAGAAGATGTATGAGCACAGTGAGACAGGGGTGAGGTATGTGGAAGGTGTGACCATTGAGTTCAAAGTAGGGTTGGGATGACATCTGGGATTGGCTTTGGAGGTTTTCTGGTTTGCAGCAGTGATGGACAGGCTGAAAGATGAGGTCAGGCAGGAGTGGACAAATATTAATGTTTGCAGACAACATTGTGATCTGTAGTGAGAGGAGAGAGTAGGTCTAAGAGAGACTAGAGAGGTGGAGGTATGCTCTGGAGAAGAGAAAGGAAAGGCAGTAGATGCAAAACAGACTATGTGTGTGAATGACAAGGAGGCAGGTGTAACAATATAGATGCAAAGAGCAGAGGTAGTGAAGGTGGACGAGTTTAAATACTTGGGGGTCAAATGTCCAAAGCAATAGATATTAGACAAGAGAAGTGAAAAACAGAGTGCAGCTAAGGTGGAGTGGGTAGAGATGAGTGCCAGGAGTGATTGGTGACAGAAGGATAGCAGCAGGAGTAAGAGGAAAGGTTTACAAGAGGGTAGTGAGGCCTGCTATGATGTATGGTTTGGAAACACTGCCCTTGACAAAAAACAGATATACTGCACAAAGGATGTTGAATATTGACCTGCCAGGCAGGAGGAGTAAAAGAGGAAGGGCACAGACAAGATTCATGGATGTAGTGAAGGAGGGCATGAGAGGGTTGGTGTGACAGAGGATGTTAGATAAAGGGTGATAGAGGAGGAGACAAAATGACCACGCAAATGTGGACCTTCTCTTATTTAAGCCAGGAGAATATAAAACTTTAACTATATATTGTGACAAATAAGTGTACAGTGTGTAAAAGCTGCCCACACATTACAGTCAATAATTTAAAAACAGCGTTTAGGTTCCATCCATTTTATTGAATTTAAAGACTTTCAAACAAACTTGTACAAATTGCAAAACACATTTTGGTAACACCTCATTTTATTCTTATTATCATTATTAGGAAATAAATTAAGTGAAATGAAAGTAAACAATGTGAACAGACAACATAAAAATACAACAAAGAGCAAAACAAAGTAGAAAGAATGAAAGAAAAGAGGCAACTGTTTTTCACAAAATTTCAACTGCACCTCATGTGCAGCACACTAAAGCTGATTCACCAAGCTTATTGCTGGCCAGTGTCTAAGTACCTTCTTGTAGCAAAGGACACCCCATGTGTGGACTGCTAATATGATAAAGCCCCATCCTCAAGTGCCTAATTTGAAATCATAGAATTTTTTTTTAACTGTAGTACTGTATTTACACACCAGGTGGCAACACAATCGTACAGTGATGCTAAAACTGCCTGCTCTGCCACCCACTCCCAACTCAGTTTATCCTGGACGGCTGGCATTTTCCCACAAAGCTTCTAAAAAAGCTTTGTGTTTGTTTTCACTGTGCTACATGCACGTTGAACTAAACACTTGTAATATTGTGGGGCATTTTGTCAAGCTTTTTTTTTTAAAACAATGTAAGAGCTTATTTAGAATCCTGTGAAATTGCAGCCAGTGGTTTAACATTTCTTATCTTTATTCTCTCCATACAAAGATCCAGCTTTGCAAAGCACAATCTCCTTATATTAGCTGCTCCCATTTAAAACCCACCATTGTCATAAATGCTTCTGCAAGAACTTAACCCACCACAGACATTCAAACATTCAAAAAGTCTCTCTCGCTCACTTTTCACTATAAATCAAGATCTTTTTTTTTTTTTTTAAATGAAGGCAAATTATCCTAATCAGAACAAATATTAAATACACCAAGGAAAAGGTTAATGCCAGCTTTCTGTGGAGAGCGGCATGTTTTTGTGTGGGAGTGGAGCTGTGGCGCAGGGAGGCATTAACAGAGTGGAGAAATCGATGCCCAGAGGGCGTTGTTTTCGGGGAGAGCGTGTCACTGCCAGCAGCTTCTGATTTAGCCTCTATATTTCATTCAAGTCGGTCTGTTCACATTCTCTGCTACTCATTGGGAGTTGCGCTTTCTCATTGGTTAAATATATAAAATGTGCTTGTGCACAACAACCACAAAGTGCACTGCACATGCTGTAACGAGTTTAAGATGTTAAACTGGATTAAAAGAAATGTTATTTGTGTCTAGGGAACTATCATTGCACAGAAACCGCAGTCTGAACTGAAACACACGGAAAAGTTTCTCTCGGCTTTTTGAGAGGTCAAGGCAAAATAACGTTGAACCTTCATTTTGTTTTGAAAAAGATTTATGGTGACTTGGTCATGTTGCCGCTCTAAACAGAGTAGCCATTCCTTTACACAACACAGAAGCCCAGAAAACCAGAGAAGAAAGAAAACAAAAAAAAGCATTAGAAATAAAACCACCAAAAAAGATTATTTGTTAATAATATCAAAAATACCAACAAACAGGCAAAAAAAGAGAAAAAGATTGGTCACAGCAAATTTATGTACACGTACACATTAAGAAAAGAGCTGTCAGTGGAGTTGACGAGGGGTTGGTTGAGTGGGGAAGGAGGAAGGAGGAGAAAAAAAGATTCGGGCAATTAGATAAGCCCTGTATCTTCACTATACAGGGGAGTTACAGAGGGGTGCCATGATGGCAGACGGGGGTTGTATGAGGTGAGAAGGAGGAGGGAGAGCCACGGTTGTATGTTCACCTCTTCTTGGGTGCTTGGGTGGTGCGGGGTGGGGTGACGGGCCGGCCAGAATTTACACCACCGTACTGATACTTGGCCTTCTTCTCTGAGGGCTTTAGGATCTTTAAAACACAAACACAGAGAAATGTGTCACTGTCAGTTCACACACACACACAAACACCCGAAAAAGGCAAATGGTTTTCACACTACCTGGAAGGAGCACATGAGGGATTCATCAACACTCATCATGCCGCCTGCGTTATCAAACTCCCCGCAGTAGTTTGGAGCAGAGAAAAGTGTGACCAGTTGGCGTTTGGCAAAGAACTCGTATCCATCCTCCACAACCTGTTAAAAGAAAGATGACATTATTCCAGCACCTACAAAAAAATCAATACCAAGAAACAGGTCTTCAGCTAGTTTCACAATCCAAGTTTGCTATCAAGGTTGAGTGTATGTAACCACCTACATCTGAAATCAATAAGAAAAACCAAATGCAGAGCTGAAATAACTATGGGTAACTTAGGAACCAGTCTCCTGATTGTTCAGTTGTATGATCAGTACTTTGAGAAAGTCTTATTTGTGACAATCAACAGGCAACAGTGTCATAAGTGGATGACTCTTTATACTACAAGTGTTGCTCGTGTTTACCTTTCTCCATGCACTCCACTCCACTGGTAGGAGATCAAGTTAAGCAAGAGACATCTATTCTATCTCCAGGCCATAAATGCATAAAGTGCCTCGTCATAGTTTGCATAATAATATTTTAAACAAGAAAAAATATTATAAACTGAGTGCCTGTATGTACAATACATGGGCGGAATACAGAGAACGAATGGGAGCAGGAAATTAGAAAGCTTCTATTAATAGATGTTTTCTGCTCTGTTTTCTGTGTCCTCTCATCAACAACATTAATTAAAAACGAGGATGGACATAACTGAAGCAAATGGATAAACAATTTTAAATCACAGAAAAAAAGAAAAAAAAAGGCTAATCAATATCCTAGCTTTGTGCCTACAGGGACTTTCATTTCACAATCAGACTCATACCCAATTCCACTCCCAATTACCTGGTGGGCTCTGCAGATGAGGTCCAGGTCATGCCGGTTTAGGAACTTACTGACCACATCTGCTCCGAAGGTGAAGGAGACCCCGCGGTCGTTCTCTCCCCAGCCTTGTACATCCTTGTCTGGATCTGACCACAACAGGTCACACAGCAGACCTGGGATACACACAGGTAGAAGATAGATGGACCCGAGGAACATAAAGCGGGGAAAAAAGTGGAAAGGAGAGAATAAACAGACAAATGGAAAAATCTGCTAAAACCTTGGTTGATGTAACAAAGATGATCTACTGATGAAACAGTCATACACTCAGGAAGAGAGAGGCTGTTTTTTCCTTAATATAAATAATAAACTTAAATTCCTGGGAGGAATCCAGAGGAAGTGAACATGTTCAGTGTCAAGTACGAGCATACATCTAAGAACACACAGGCACACACAGTACCTGTGTCGGGCACGTCTGTGGGCCTCATGATCCTGCGGATTTGCTCCATCGACTGCAAGTCCGGTGACAGCCCTGGAACAAAAAGGCAAAAAGATTACTTTTGATTAAAGACACTATGGAGCTATTTCAAACACGGGTTAATAAAAAGCTGCAGTTCAGATTCAGGGCAGTGAGTGTCGACAGTAGCCCCCTCACCTCCATGGCAGCAGAAGATTTTCTCATCAATAATAGCAGCAATGGGGAGGCAGTTAAAGCAGTCAGTGAAAGTCTTCCACAACTTGATGTTGAACCTGCGCTTGCCTGGTGAAAGAAATCAAAAGATATTCTCAGAACTGAACTGCGCCTGTGTAAAGCCTCAGTTTATTAGTACTTACACTCGTCGTAGAACCCATAGATGCGGTTGATGGAAGCACACTCATGGTTGCCCCTGAGCAGGAAAAAGTTCTCTGGGTATTTGATCTTGTAGGCAAGCAGAAGGCAAATGGTTTCCAGGGATTGTTTCCCTCTGTCCACATAATCACCCAGGAAAAGGTAATTTGCCTCTGGAGGGAAGCCACCATATTCAAACAGCCTCAATAGGTCTGTGTACTGCCCATGAATATCACCTGAAACAGAGGTAAAAGGGATGAGGGGACAGGCAAGTAAGGGTGTTAATTTGACAGTTTAAAGGCAGGATGTTGTAGTCAAACAGAGACAGGCAGGAGGAGAATTCTGCCTAGAGGAAAAAAAAGTGTAGAAATATTTTTAATGCTGTGTTTTTCTACCTCCTGACTCCTACATGCACAACTCACTGAAGTTGTTTGGATTTTAAGATAAGATCTGCAAGACATGTAGTTTGGTTGGGACATAAGACTGAGCCTATATTAGGACTGTGTGAGCGAGGCAAACAACACACACACACACACACACACACACACAAAAACCATTAAAACTGTCACCAGAGCACGCAAAGTAAGCTACTGAGGCAAAGAACGCTCGCAATCCACATTAATCACAAAAGGACATCCATCCAAAAATCCACACACACACACACACACACACACATATCTACACAAACTTGCTTTAATTTTAACCACTCTCTGAGGATTAACGCTCAATCTCCTCCCTCTTTGACATTTAGACAGGCAGTGATGAGCGGTAGTCGCTCTCACCAGAGCATAGGGTCTCTGCAGAGGAGACTCACTTCATCACCTAGCCAAGACCTGCTTCCTTTTATATCCTCTTGCACCAGCTAAAGAGATGCTCTAATTTGGGCTAAGTGCTCCAGACACAGATGACTACAGAGAGGCCTACCAGAAAAGCGTTGCAATAATAACAGGCTTTATTATGACCAAAACGGAAAGCCAATTCATGCACCACACTCATTACAACATGGCATAAATTACAATGAAATGACAGCCCTTTTTAAGCAGTCCAGCTGTCTGGCCTTAAAATAAAATGACCAATGAAAAAGTAAATTTTATATTGAAGTCATATTGAGGTTGGCTGGCATGATTTTTTCCCCTATTTCACGGTGCCCATCAGGCATCCATGCACCAAAACCCAAACCAAGGCTGGCACCAAATCGTATATGGCTACAGGCCTACACTTAGGACAGCATGCAAAGGCACATTCTTCCATGCAAATAAATAATTTGTGGAATAGCTTTAAGTCTGGCTGTATGTTATTTTCTGTTTTTGGTGTTCTTAGCTGGTTGGCTTGTGTTTCACAGCCTCCTACTTTATCTATTTATTTAAAGTTTTGCTCCAGGCATGCAGCCCACTGGTCAAGATCTAAGGCATTTACACTGTAATAACAACTTCATAATCCTTCACATTAATATTACAATATTGAAACTCGAGCGAATCACACATTAATGCAGACATTAATGCACAAAATCCAGGTCACAAGCTGTCAGTATGAAATCAGCAAAGCTTCTTAAAAGTCCAAACTACCACTTTAATTGCTGTTTTTAAAGTGATATTTGGAGTTTAACCTGCTCATCAGAGAGACATGAGGAGTTGATGGGTGGGTGGGGGTGGGGGTGGGGTGGGGGACAAGAGAGGGATCAGCAGTTTTTTTGTTTGTTATTTTCCCATTTTGAGTTGTGGAGGGTGGCATAGTGACATGGTGGTTAGCACTGCCTTTCTGGATGGAAATTGCATGTTCTCCCTGTGCCTGCATGGTTTATAACTGAGTTTTCTGAAGTTCCCAAACACATGCATCCTAGGTTAACTGCTGATTCTAAATTGGCCATAGGCTGTTTGTCTCTGTTGTGTCTGTTTAGGGTGTTACCTCTTTCTTGCCCTATGACAGCTGGGATAGGCTCATGACCTTGGACTGGATAAGAAGAAGAAAAATGGATGGCTGTCTGATGGAGGTCAACTATAGCTTACTATTATGTTAACTTTAGCTGAGGTGTGATACTATGGCAACTTTTTATTTCTCCCTTCTGCACTAATGATGCTGAATATCCAGATTTTACCTGTACAAGTTTAATATATTTTAAATTACTATTAGTACAAGTCACAGCCAGTATTTGTTTTGCTCACAAAGGTCTGCCAGGTTCATTTTACACTAAGTATGATCAATTCCACACTAAGAGCTACTGTATGACTAACATACTGATATGAGTGTGAATTTGCAGAATCTTTTTTGGTTTGTTTGTTTTTTAAAAAAGGGCAGCCTCTGCCTGCACTCTTACAAGAAACTGTAGGATGTCAGTGAGTGAATTATTTACTTGGCCTGTTCCTGTTCCGTCAAAACAAACAGACAGTAAAAGCACAGAGATTATGGGTTCAAAACCAGTGCAGAAAAAGGAAAGCTAAAAACAAAACAAAACAAAACACAATGCAGAACCACAAATTAGCAGGATTTATCTTCCAAGAGGACGCAATATAAAAGTTCATAAAACATTTTTAGAAAAACAACAGTGCACAACAGCATGGGCTATGTTGTCCATTTGTGGTACAAGCATTAGAGTACAGGTGTTTTAGGAATACTGAATAATACCGCTCAGAGTATATTTGTAAACACTAAGCTAACAGGGTTATTGTCTCGAACGATAGTATAGTGTTTTCAGGTAAAAATATCACCTTGGGGATCATGACACACATGTCAAATTTAAAGAAAAGCAACAAATGTAAATAAAACAGGTTCAGTACACAGATCAAGTTTTCGTGATCTTTAAAATATTACAGTAGCCTAATACAGCAATGTTTCCTCCTGCTTCTAGAAACACGCTTGCTCCACTGGCTGAGGCCAAACCCTGTCACATGTTTTTTTTCCCTTCTTCCTTAAGTTTGTCCTTTACCACTTTCCTTCAACAAAAACAAAATAAACAGCTGCCTGGTTAAAGACGGACCTTGCCAAATTCTGTGATTTAACGATAATGATGGTATATGCAAGAAAAGAATCTATTTTAGCGTCGCAGACAGACTTGCAATCAACTTACTCCAGGGTCTTTAATCAAGAAAACTAGAGACGTCTTAATTAAAGGAAAAAGTCTACAATTGAAACGGATTTGTGGTGCAATCTTGTGTTCTGTTCTAACTAACTATCAACACACACCCGCCTAATGTGCTCCCTACTGGGGACAAACACCACAGTCTCGTTAAGAGCAAAATTGCACCAAATTAAAGTGAAGTTTATATTACACCTTAGCAGAATTTGTAAAATCTCAGTGATGTTTTGCAGTTCCAATAGCTTTAGGTCCTCTTTATGTTTCCATGGATAGTGTGTGAGTTTATTCTAGCTGCAGCAAAAGGTTAATAAATTTACTCTATAACTAAACTAAACAGGGGCTCAAATATCCTCTATCACTCTCACTAAAAACACACAAGGATAGCATGTCTTTGGGCAAGTATGGAAAAGAGAGATAATTATCGCAAGCAATTTCTGTTTCATAGTTCATATCATTATACTTTCATATTATTCTCTTCAATTTGTGAAATGTTTGTGCTGCTTCTCAATCACTCCTTGTAGTCAAGAAGTAATAAAAGGTATCTTATTTGCTAGGGGTATAATAATTCTGAAACTGAGGCTCATAATATAAACCACGGATTTGGAGAATTGTTTCACGTTTACGATTTATCTCAGGCCTGCTCATACACAGAGCACACAGCATTGATGTTTGTGGTCTTTCTTCAACTAATTCAACCGATTAACAAATCTAACCCTTTGGTTATTTTGCAGACAACTCTAATTACAAGATGGTGTTTTTTTTTTGTTTTTTTTTTTTAAATCATAGATTATTTTTTTGTAGCAAAAAACAAAAATCCTCATCCTCATAATGATGGTTATTAGAAGTCTGTGTTTAAGTTTACACAGTGGCAAAGCTGCAAGCTTGGGAAACATTCACTAGTAGAATTACGATTAGCAGATGAGATCGAGTGCAAGTAAGTTCAGAACCTGATCCATGTGACCTAAATAAATAATTGAAGACATTCACTGTTTGCTCTTTATTGTCAATGCTTGCTTGCCATCACAGCTGTGGGTTAAAGGCAGCTAATTAGCCTTAGGTTATAGGTTCAAGAACTAAACATATAAAGTTACAATTACAAACAGCACCATCTAGAACTCGTCAAAGTTAGACCTGTATGGAGAAAGGCAGACATGGCCTTTGTAAAGCTAGCTGTACTGATCGCTGAGATGTTAGACATATAGACACCACCAATGTCAGCATTCAATTAAAATTCCTTACTGCTTCACTTACAATATAAATAGCGCCATCTGAGGCTGAGTGTTTAGGTGGTATACAGTATTACTTTCAAGGACTGACACATGTAATAGACAGTTCAGAGTTGTTTGAAGTTGCTGCAATACACTGGAGGAATGAGATAAAGCATGTGGGAGTGTGCAGAGATATGCAGGAGCCAGTTAGACACAGCAACAGTGATGGCTATTTCAAACGCAGAAAGAAGAAGCTCATTTGTAAAAGTGTATTTCTCTGCTTGTCTTTCATTTATCTATAGTATGGGTGTAATCTGTGCATATGTGTGAGTGTATTCTCTGTTACATACATGGAGCAGCTGAGTCAAGAGAGTAACAGTGACTTAGTATATGACCCAGGATAAGACAGTGTTACCCGGTCTGGTTACATAAGTCTGAGCTGTATCAAAGAAATAGATTGCTGCTGTGGGCTATGCAGAGTTTGTGGTCTGTGCTTTGCAGAGTGGGGGGTTGCCATCAGTGCACCCAACCCTTTGCAGCCAGACTATAGCATTAAAAATTCAGATTATGTTGTTGTTTGACATTTCAAAAGGCCACAGAAAAATAATCAAAACCTATAGAGTACGTGTTAAACCAATTATTGGACCAAAGGGAAAACAAACAGAGAAAATATCAATGGTTCCCATGTTTTTAGGTTCCTTTAACTTTCTGTGTTCGTAAACAATTTAATTGAGAGTTAGGTCAGGGCAGAAAACACTGACCACAGATCTTCAGGGGCGCTTCCAGTTCCAGCAGGATGGGTTGGCTGAGGAAGATCTCCCTGGATTTGATGCAAAGACCCCGCACCTCCGCCTCTGTCATCTGGACTATCTTCCCCGGGCGACATCCCCGCACTAAGGAGGAGACAAACTACACAGTCAGTGCTATTGTCAAGTGAGTGAGTTATCAACAATCAGTGTGTAAAAAAACTCCCAAAAAACAAAACAACACCAGCAACACAAACTTCATCAAAATTAGGCCATAACAGAATAATGCTTCACCTAAGGGAAAAACACTTGTGGCAGTATCACAAAAGCCAATAAACTGAGGGCATAATGATTCTGTAGCCTATAGCTGCTTAGTCTCAGCCATACTTTAGAAACACGCTGCTTATTCTGTGAGAGCAGCTTGCATCTGAGCACTGGTGTGGGTTTATTGGCTGTGTAGCTGCAGTAGCTTAAGCCTACTTTCTGGCGTTCCGCCACAGCTCTGGGTGAAGATTTATCTTATAACGATAAAAAAGGGGAGTGAGAAATGCAAACGCTGGTTATAGTCAGCAGCTGAAACAGACAAAGATATGAAAAGTGAGATTATAACTTAAGAACTACTTGCTTGCCATGTTATCTGGAGGCTGGAATAGACAAAAATTACGTTTTATATTGTTTGGAATAGTCTGTGCCTGATATATTTGACATTTTCAATTTCAGGTCTGGAAAACTTAGCGTAATATTTCTGAATATTTCTTAAAGATGGTCTATAAAGAGCACATTATCAGTCACACAGCATTACAGCTATGCAAAATCATACCAGTAATCAGAGTCATCCCTGGCTTAGAATCAGCCTTTGGGAGATGACTACGCACGACAGTAAGCGTGACTAGTCTATGTAAAGTAAAGGAAATAGGACTGTAATGTCCTATATGACAGAAATCTATGCATTTTCTTATTATTACTGACAATCTGACAAAAGTGAAACTTAATTTAACAAAAGTAGTTAAAATTATTTAATTACAACAGTGGAAGAGAGCATAAGAATGAGTTTGAGGGAGGCAGCTATGGTTAAATGAGAGTTGATGAAAGTCAAGATACAAAGTATTTAAATGTACGTTCTGCTTGTTAAATGGTAATTTGCTGAACTGCTATACAGCTCATGCAAAGAGGGTTTGAACTGCTATTTTTATTCTCAGTTCTTATCATTCTGGTGCTAGTCATGTTCCTTTGGCATTGACTAAAAACCCTGTAGGCGAGGCAAACATTTCTTTACGCAGGAAAAACCACTTGTTATGGTAGTAACTGTGAACAAAAGCTGAAATGAATATAAATGGATAACAGACTCAATAATGATCTCATAATACTCGCTTTTAAGTCCTAGGTTGACATTACAAAAAGCAAATCAAAGCAAGGCATGAAAATATTCTCTGCATGGAAACAAAAGTGATGAACAAATCCACAACTGAGGAATTATGCAATAACTAACCATTTTGTTATTGCCTTTAAGCTAGACGCCCACAAAAGAGCCCAATAAAGGGTAGCTGAGCCTAGTGAAGCGAATGCATGTTAGTCAGAGAATGAGTTTCTATACCCTTTTTCAATGTAGCTTTTTCTGTTGTATTTAATGGATACCATTACAGAATGACCACAGAATGACCCCACAAGGGAGCAGTTCAAATTGATGTGTTTGTGTGGAATTCCTAAAGCTTAGTGCCTGATGTTTCTGTACATATATAAACATTTATATGCATTCTGCTTACACAGTGTGTTCAAACTCCCTGACTCTCAGTGTTTCATTAGCTAAGAAATCCAACCAAATCTGAGTTTAAGCGAGTGAATCACAGGAATATAAACCAAATCCACAGTGTCAAAAACTGTTCAACGGCTCCTCCGTTAATATTTCTTATCCTCCATCTACTGAATCAGCACTGCTACATTTCCCATCTGCTTCTCCGAGTGCGGAGCATGAAATCGCAGAAGTAGGGCTCTTTACTCAACAGCCCAGCCTCATCAGAGCAGAGCAAGTTAAGCTTGGATGTTTAGCCTGCTCAGCTTTAACAGTGAACCTTTTACTGTTCGCACTTGCACTCTGCAGGCTGGCACTTTTAAAAGAGATTATGTACTTAAGACTACTGAGGGGGCAAAGGCCAAACTGAAGCAATGACAAGGATTTTGCAACAATCATAAACAGAATCATTGTTTGTTTGTCTTGCTAAATTGCGTTCACATGTTTTATAAGAATGAATAAGCAGTCTCAATGACACTTTTTCTCACACAGAAAAACAAACAGTAAGCTACTTTGTTATGCTGGAATGCAGAATAAAGGCATTTCCAAGGGCTTTCTTCAGAAACTTGACACAAGACCATTATGAGTCTCTTGATATATAACTGGGAATCTGTGGTAAACACTGGGAAAACAGAGTTTGTGTTTTGTATTACTCTAGTATTCTAATCAGCTCTGAGGCAAAACCTTTGATTAAAGAAGATGTGTCATGTATTTATTGCTTCATTAATACTCAGTTATAACTATTTATGATGCTCACATCAGTAACTGAAAGGGTAACCAAATATTATCTATGAGATAATAATATAATAATAAAATAAAAAACTGAAGTAGACCGCAAAGATTATTACCAAACTAATCACTTACGAAAGACGTCAAATGCTAAGTTCAACTGGCATTACAAATATGAGCAATGTAATCAACAAGTCACAGTTGGAGCTGAGTACCAAGGAAAAGTGCGTCAGCGGAGGACTTTTGAGCAGAGATAAATGGTTGGCCAAAAGTCACACACACAGCTGTCTCAAAGTCACCTTTCTGTATTCAAAACAACTCTTTAAATCTGAAATGGTAAGAAACCCAGGGAGATGCAGTTACCACCAAGAATTATCCTAGCATCCTCCACCAGAGTCAAAGATAGCAGTGGAAAGTATGCCAAGGACAGCTGAATTCGCTGTAGTGGTCTGCTATGACTCAAAGGATATCTCAGGGGGACAGAGAACTCACGGTCTTCTCTGAAGCAGCTGGTCAGCCATCATCCTTCTTTCTGCTTGGCCCAAATATCATCATCCTCAGACATCACCAAAATTCCCCAAAGTATAAAAGCAAACAACGTCATTGTGAACACAGCGTGACTTAAACATCCCTGTGGATGAGCCAAAGAAACACATATTTCACTAATATTCTTTTATCACATGTGTGTTTCTTAATTCTGATGTACCTTTAGTGCAAAGATATATAAAGGTGATGTGTGAGCACGAATGTCCTGAATCACACCAACCTGCCCACTAAAAAAGACACCTCCAAACCAAGTCACTCCAAAAAAGGTAACTTTATTTAAAAAAAACAACCAATAGTTAACCAGCTATGATTCATTCAGGATCTAGTGATAAACGACACCCATTAAAGTTAGCTATTTGTGTTTTATTATTATTATTATTATTCTTTTCCACTTATTTATAGAGCAGACCTAATAACCAGGTCACTAATACACAAAAATTTGTGGGGGCAGCAAATAAAATAATGACAACCGTCAGCACCGCGAATGTGGGGCAAACGCGTTTAAACCAAAGGGAGCTGCAATACTACTGCGTAACAGTACAACGATTCAACCTACAACAGTAACAATGACTTTATACTATGCACACTGGACGAGGAGGAAAAGAAACGTCCCCGCCTCTCCTTCTTGACATCAGCCCCACATCATTTGGCAAATGGGGTAAAACGAAAAATGCCGCAAACACAGCAGACCGAAAGTTTAATTACACGCTAAAGTAAAGGCCACGACACGATACGGTATCTGCCAAACGTAGCCGCAGATTATTGCTGCGCAAACACACGCTAGGCTTTCAGCGCTTGCAGTGTTTATAAACACGGCCAGCTAACGGTAACGTTAGCCAAAGCTAGCCGGGCATAGCATTAAAATGAACTGACGTTAGCCCTACCAGCTAACACTTTCCTGCATTTTGCGAGGCAACCGCGACAGTTACCGGATATTATTTAAACCCCATTTTTTAAACACCGAACCCTTCACCTGTTCCCCACAAAACACACAGTAAATATAACTCAAATTGTTCACCTTCCAACAGCCGAGAGATGAGGCTATCCACGTTCAATTCACCCTCCGCCATCTTCACACTGCTGTTGTACTGTACAGTGTTGGCCGCTTCAGTTCCCCCAGCCGACACCAGGAGGGGGTTGTTGCTCACAAACCGGTTGCCAAAGACCTTGACCAGGGAGCAGATTAGTGAATAATCCACTTTATTTTTTATTTTTACCTCCTTTATATACATCCACCATCTACTATAACTATACAAAAATATGAATAAAATTACAATTGTTTAAATAGGAATTGGGATGAAATCTAAAAACGTACAAAAAGTATGAAAGGTACAGTAGCATGTAAGCAGCCACCCTATAGACCTGCTACATTATTACTGATTCAAAAAACAAACAAAGTAAAGGTTACATCAGGTTACATATAGTAAACTGATCTGGTTTGTAATTATGTCTGCAATGTGTCAAAATAAATACGTATGTAAGTGGCGTAAAGTATAGTATTTCAGCTTGTGCTGAATGAAGGGGGAAACTGCAGAAAATGTTTCTCAATGCTTGAGTAAATGTACTTTTCACCCTGTCACAAGTTTGTGACATAATCAACAGAAGCTGTCGGCATATTTCATCACTCTAAAGAGATCATAAACCATTCCTGTGTATATTTTATCAGCAGGCTCGGCCTTTGGAGGTAATAATCAACCTAACCAACTGGAGCATTAGTAGTTTGTGTTTTGCAGTGCTTTTTCTGCACAAACAAGTGTATTAAGCTGGGTCAGGAATGAGCAGTCACACTACAGTACACTGTTTCATGAATTATTGCCAATTAACCCTCCATCTCCCACAACCCACACATTACAATCCCACTAGTATTTGTCTCAAAATGAAAACATATTACAAGTATACACAAAATTACCGCAGAAACTTAATTCAGTGTTTATTTTACTGCATATATTTATATATACATAGATATATGTATTTAAGTTACAATATTAATTTATCAAAGCAAACAGGATCATATATAACATTGTACAGTTTTGACAGCCTCATTTTCAATGTTTGTGTAGCTCTTTATTTCCCCCCCTAAATAGAAAAAACATAACAAAGTTAAAATTCTGTGCCCTTCATCTGCCCCGAAGTCATCATCTTCTTCTTGTTCTTCCTGGCTTTGTAGGAGAAGAAGAGCCAGGTGACAGCTGAACCAATCAGAAGGCCAACAACAGCCAGCACGGCAGCGAGCCATGCTTGCACAGTGTTAGGGCACTTTGGATTGCCCGAGGCTTGTGGTGTGATGTCAGTTATGGGTGGTGTGGCTGTGACTGCAGGAGCCACACTGTTTATCTTTGTGAAAATGTAAGGATGTTCCTGGAACATATAAATAGGATGTCAAAGTTCAATTCCACAAACCTGTAAGAAAGCTGCAATAAGAAGTGCTTCTGCAGCTGATTCCTTACCTCAGTGGGACACTTGATTCTATCTCTGCCATTTGAAAAGGCGTTATACGTCTGTTTTCCCCCCACTGGTTCCATCTAGAGATAAAACCAAAAATGCATGTCTGTTCAGCATAAATTGCAGGGAGATGTTGTAATTATAAAGGCAAATAGTTATCCCTTTACTACCTACATTAAAAGACTCACCATGTTATTCCACACAGCTACAGCCATGTCAGCATGTCCCCGTTCACTGAAGTGGAAACAGTCCTGGGAGAAGTATGTGACATCAGGTTGGCCTTCCTGCACGAGGGAAAACACACAATCATCCCTGTTTGTGGGTAAAATGCATCCTGAGGACTGACAGACGTGTTACTGTCCGCAAACTAAATGTTTACATATAAATACATGTAGAGCGTAGTGGAGGGTGATGGGCGCACAGAAGACTTACAGCATTTAAAGGTAAGATGGTGCTTTTAAAAAAAGGCTGGAGAACCACAGCAAAATCCTCTTTGTCGTCATAGCGACCTCCATGCAACAATTTTTCGGTTTCAGTCTGGCAGTAACAGATGGCTGATGTTATTAAGGTAATGTAACAATCCTGATTCATCAACACTTGTTCAGAATCAAACATTTTACTATCATGGCTCCAGTCTGCTAACCTGGTATTCCCGATTGATTCGTTTTGCTTCTGCCAGCTCTGGTGAATTCTCTCCCGGGTCCAAGAAGCATCGGCAGACAAACCTGGGGATACACAGGGAAAAATCACTGATTTGTTATTCATTCTGGTATGAGGCAGTTGTGTCATACAATACAAATTATATCTGATATTCTAGTTTTACTCAATAGACAGTGCAATGAAGAGGAGGGGATCTACAGGAAAGGGCCTCAGGTCGGAGAACCTCGGCTGTTGTATTTAGCCTTACAGCATATAGTCGCTTGCTCAATCTATCACCTAGACCTGATGTCTTATGACAGATTCCCTAGATATAGACAAGAAGTGATTTAGACTGCCTTGTATTCAATGGTCTTATTCATGAAAAGCTGCTTAGATTGATGAACATACTGTTGCACCACACTGCACCCTAGGGTGTCCTTATTGATCTTGCGAAGACCTTCAATTTCCAGGATCCCCAGCACGTTCACAATCGTCCTGGGAACCTACAATTAAAAAAAAAAATCATAGAAGAGTGGAGCTAAAAAACTGGATGAACCCAAATATTTTTTTTTGGTTCAGAATCTCTTAAAAGTATTTTCACTTATGATCTTACTATATAATATTATTGTTTTTACATCAATAAAAATAGTCTCACCTCATTGTACAGCATGTCCAAGCTTGTCATCATATGATAGCTGTAGTTCTTAGGTGAGTGCATGGCCTGTAGTTTGGACAGATGCAATCAATAAGGCTATTTATTAACACATGAACTTAGTTCAGTTCAGCCACGACTTTTTGCCCCCCCACCACACCCCATTAGTGTTTTTTTTTCTTTTTGTTGTAGCCAGCAGCATAATTAAGGCAGATATGAGGGGAATATGGCCAAGTTTGAATCCACCAAGAGAGAGCCATGCAACATGTAAGAGCGCACTAGCAACAACTAACCCTAAGCTGTCACTATAGTCTCAGAGCTCATCTTAAATTGATGCTGCACTTTGATATTCTGCTTCAAAGCACAAACATTAAAAGAGAGACTACCCTGACAGTGGAGCTTGAGGGGTGTAATGGGAGAGGGGGTGTGGGGTGGGTTTAAAATGAGAAAGAAAAAAGCGGGAGCGAGCAAGACAGAGACAGGAAGAAGAGAGTCTCGGTTGACTTCTGTGTTGTTTATGCCTCTTAGAGAACAAGGCCTGTCACTGTGTTCTGTGCGCTTGTTCAACGCAGACATAGGCCGGGGTAGAGGAGGGAGGGGGTGATCTGTGTTGCAGGGCTAAAGCGACAGAATGCGCTTATTGAAAACAAACCATGTCTGCTCTCATCACTGTCTGACACAATAAAACAATAAACGGGGGGTGCTCACAAGGCTTAATTATTCTGCTCCAGTGCTTAGTTCCATTTGGGGAGTGATGATATCTCGAGAGAGCGTTTAACACCACTGGATGTTTAAGCACTACACTTGCAGAGGGAAATCATTTTTTCCCTTAAAAATGCCCTTCAAACCACATTTCCTGTGACGACTTCTTAAAGCAACTCACCCGATCGTTGCAGTACTGACACAGGTCATTCCCTCCAATGAAGAGGGTCACAAGCTTCCAGTCGTTCTCAAAATCCACGGCCTATTTTGATTGGTGGTGACAGATTCAGAGAGACAGATTTAAATACATGTGTTTTTCCCGCAGAAAACGTGGCAAGGCTTGAGACAAGGCTACATTAAAAATCACTTGGTAATGCATGTTAAACTCACTGGGTCCTCTTTCATGGCATCAATAAGGCGTCTGACCTGTGCCGGGATTTGTCTGCATGGAATTGCACATAATTAGCCCACGCAATGCTTCCAAGATAGCACAGTAATAGAGCCGTTTATATATCTGATAACACGTCAACGTCAGAACTCACGATATTTTAGCGCCCGATACGGCCACATTGAAACCAGCCTCCTTTTTTCCTGTCCCCTTTGACATTCCTTGGACATCAGGATTAAACTTCTTAAGGATATCTAAAGTATACATTAAAAAAAAGTTAGGGTACAGAGTTTACTCAGTTAAAGACAAAATACAGTTTTTTGTCAGACTATTTCTGCCATCTAGTGGTGCTTATGTGCACTACAGTTCAACACAGGAGGTTTCTGACTTACTGGGTAATGTTGTGACAGTCTCAAGAGTATCATCACCTCCAATGCTAATAAAAAAAATAGGCAAACAAAGAATGTGTGTTTAGAATGCAACATTTATACTTTATGATGTGCAAAGTCTTGTTTTGGTCTCTCACCTCCACGACACTCCTCTGTACTCAGTACTTAGATCCACCAGACTTTGTGATTTAGCACCAAAGGCGGCCTACATTTGGGAAAAGGTGATTTTACAGTGGAATCATTAACAGTCTTCCCCCCCGTTTCAACCTCTCTCTCATTAAGTTGATATTACTCTCTCTGTTTATACATTAACTGATTTATAGGTACAGAGAAAAGGTGTGATGTGTAACACTGTTATTACCATTATAAATTATTACAGATTAATCTACTCGCTATGGGTCCCAGAGACCAAAAAATGTGTCAGTGAGTATTTTTCAGCTCTTAAGAACTTGAAAACAAAGAAAATCCGTCCTTTAGACAGTAATTCTGTTACATTTGTCTATTAGCGACGTGATTTATGAAATATTACAGTATTAATGGGTTTTTCTGGTATTCAGTTTTTATTGTAGAAGCAAGTACATTTGATTTGTTTAGAAACTTTGAAATAAATTAGATTTGCAAGAACTGAGAACAAACAGAGAAGAAAAAACAAGACGCATAAACCACAGGCAGATAACTGCATAGCTGCCAAATAGTTGACTAAGGCTGTGAGAGGCAAATGAAGGATTTGGATGAAAAACAGTGAGCGGAAAATTTTGGGAGTTATTTAGAGGATTTATTCAGTTATGACAAAATACCAGTCACGCTCTTGAGCTTACCGTTAAAGAGTCTCCCAGAGCAGCCACTACCTTGATGTCTGCTGGTCGCACCTTGTGAGCTATTAAAAAAGTCAACATGA